CTCGGGCCAAGGAATCGGCGCAGTTGCGCCAGCAGCGGGAGGAACGAGCACGGGTAGCCGAGCAGCGGGCACAGTGCCTTGTCCCTGACGAGACATGCACGCTGGCATCATGCGCTGGTGGGTTTGTGCCAGGTCCAGTGCTGCCCAGATGCAAACCGAAGCCGCTGAGGACGACGGGAGGGTGGTACTGTATCCCTTCGCAGCAAGTATTTCCTTCAAACCTTCACAAGAATGACGAAGTCCAGTGGAGTCAGCAGCGCGGAACCGCCAATTAATTCAAGGTGGACAGTTGCAACAACCCAGCCAAGCTCTAGGTGGCCTGAATAAATGAACCGGCCTGCGATGGAGCTTTGCTTCTTGGTTCTTTGGCCCTGTGATGTGCTTCAAGCATTCAAGCTCGCATGGCAGCGCCCTCATGCTGAGTGCCCCACGCGGAAGTTTAGATACGACCACCCCAGGCCTCTCTGCAGGGTTAACTCTTTCGAGTTGCAATTGCTTGTGGAAACTTCACCCTTAGCACCAAAGCCGATGAAGGAAGAGAATCGACGGAAAGAAGTAACAAGAATTTCAAGCGAAGGCGTGACTCCTTTGGCAACTTCTCGTTCGTTCGAGATGGGCCAGCGCTTCAACTGTTGCTTACGTTTGGATCCGGATGGGACAGGGACAGTGGCACACGCTTGAGGACACAGAGTCCTAAGCCGGGGAAACGTTCTGTCTCACACCACCGCCAGAGAGATGCAAAGCTGGGCAGCTTCAGGATGGCTCCCTGACGGCCTAAGCCCTAAGCCATGCGATCGCAGGTGTTTGGCACACCCTTCAAGTTGGTGTGTGCATACTGGTCACGGACACAGTCCGGGTCGCCTGTCTCTGAAGAGCAGACGCGCCAAACCTGTCACAAGCATGTCGATGTCTCACGAAGGATGATGTCGAAAGAGCTCAGCACAACAGCCCGCCTTCCCGAAGACGCGTTAGGGCTTACGGGTGGCACCGAAGGCGACGATGAAGCAAACCGAAGGGCAGAGCTGGCCGCTGGCCCCACCAAACCGAGTAGGCATGACAGGAAGGCACCTTGACTTCTCGACCAAACTCACGGGTTAGATGCCGGGTACCTGCATGCAGCCAAGCAACATCCAAACGCATGCGCGATTCAACATCAACCGTGCGATTGATGTTTCGATATGGTTCGCCGAAGTGTCCGGACCATATGCACAGGCCAACGGACCCGAGGCCGCTGCAAAGATCGGCATCCTCGAGGGTCAGCAGGCAGTGAAGTCCTGTGTCAAGAGTGCAGGTAAGCGAATCACGTAAGGACCCGAGTCTCTGGGTCCTCTGTCGCTGAATTGTTTCAGAGCCTCCGGCAGGCTCCTGACAGCGTGTACAATCGCCGTGCGAGTTCTCATGCAGTGAAGGAGGAGGCCAGCTTTTGAATGCTTGAGAGAGCCCAGAGCATATGCATGTAACAGCCATGCACTCACATACTGAACACTGCAGGATGTGCAAGAGCCACCTTCGCATGCGAAAGGTGGCAAGGCCCACATGGGGTCAGCGGGTGAGTGCTCTTCACTGGGTTCATGCAAGTTCCGATATTTGTCACATTTCAAACAGCTGCGCCGATGTCAGCGTTGCCGCTCCACCAAGGCAGCCTTGAAGAAATTGCGGCTGCAATTGGCTGCACAGGAAGGCAAGATGAGGCAGCATACAATGTACATACAACATTGCACAATAGAGGGTTTTTTGGCTGCTTATCTTCGACTTCGGAACTTACAGAAGGGTGAAAGTTCTTCAACTTCGGAACTTACGGAAGGGTGAAAGTATCGGTGATCACTGGATAAATGTTTGTCATCGGAATGACGAGCGGTTTCGCCGGAGTCAGGCAGACGGAGGCGGCATCGGCTGAGCGGCGTGAAGCCATGCGCCGTGAGACGCAGCTGCTTAGCACGGTTGGTGACTAGGCGAGGCTGAGCCTTGCCATACATGGGCCAGACGTCGTTCACAGTGGTCACTTCATTCTTCAGTCCTACGAACTCCATCTCGTCATTCCAGTTTCCTCGCGTGCTCAAACCAATTCGGCCCGAGGCTATTGGCAGACAGTCTTCGCGAAGTTGGGCTACGTTGTCACATGCTGCTAGGGAAGCACAAGATGCTTCTCGACGACAGGCGCGCTTTGCTGCAGATGTAGTGTGCTATGTATCATGTTTGTGGCTGGGGTTGTGATGCACTGACTGGACCGAAATCATCAATCTGGGTATCCGTGATTGATCAAGAAAGCATGATGGGCCTAGACACAGATAGGTGGCAGACGCATGCAGACCCACAAACTTGATGAGCATCCCCCTTGATCAGGAAGCGGCTAGAGGCAGAGGCGTGAGAGTGACACACATGAGACCGTTTGTTTGCATGTTTTCTGAGAATCAGCAAGTGCGCTGTGCAATAGGAGTCACAATGCTGATCAAATGATTTCACTTGAGCGCTGGTCACTTGAATAACGAGTGCCACAGCTCAAAACCCGCAGAATGCTAATGGATTTGAAAGGCTGCCATGCCAGGACATGACCCTGGCTGGGGGGGGGGCAGGGCGTGTGTGAAATTGAGTTCCGTTTTTTGCACATACGGTTCAAAGACAGCATGGACGACTGCAGCCGCAACTGAGAACAATCAGGTGCAAACACACATGGTTTGACTCGGTTTGACCGTTTGACACATCTCGATTGTATGACAGCCGCACCATTGTCGTGACAGCTGCACTTCGAAGATGCTCGACATGAGTTCCCAAGAGCACCACAAGTGATGTTCATGCTCACACTTTATGCCGTTGGATTGCCCACGTTGGTTCAAGCTGGCGGCGAGCTGGCATTGGTTGGCTTGGGCACCGGCGGTGTCAAGCAGGTTTGGGTTGACAGGCAAAAATGCTGCCCGTGTCAGCTGGTGAGTGCATGCCACAGTGCAGGTGTCCACCATCGTCAAAGCTATACGCTTGGGCTACCGGACCATTGACACTGCTTTGCTGTACGGGTGCTGTGCTGAGTCGATACATTGCTGCTTGTTCGTGGAAAATGTATCGCGTTGTTTTTTGCTGTCTTTTTGGAACGAGGAATCATGGCCTTATTCGAGATGCAATCGAGCAAAGCGGCGTTGCCCGTGATGAGTTTTTCCTGACGTCCAAAGTAGGATTTTTTCCTACATCCTTGGACCTTCCTGAGGATCCTTTGTTGCATGATGCATTTGTTTGGGGGAGGGTTTGTTCCATGCGAACGGCTTGCAACAGACTGTCGTCGTTGGACATGTCAGGGTAGGCCGAGGGCGTGCACCACTTGTCGTTGTATAGATTGTGGCACAGGAGCACCAGAAGGCTTTCGGCTTCCAGTCTTTGCCAGTGCCTGCAGCACTCGCGCCGGGTGCCCTGGCTGACACGGCCGAGTTTGAGAGTCATGCCAAAGACAGCCACAAGCAGCAAAGGATTTCATCCACTAAACCGGAAGGGCAAAGAGCTCGAGGTGGGGGGCAGTTCCCTTGAACGCTGAGTCCAGAGAAGGAAGACGGGGGGCGTTCTGCAGCGTGGGAGGCCATCCGACTGAGCCTGGAGCAGCTCGGCGTTTCCTACTTGGATTTGTGCCTCATCCACACCCCGGTGACATCCGCGCTGGACCGACGGGAGGGGAAAGCGACGGTCGCAGTTCGGTGTCGTGATGTTCGTCATGTGCTGCAGAGAGGCGCTCAGGTTTGCGACAGAGAAGCAGCCATCAGCACGTGTTTTTCGCCAAACCTGAAGGAGCTTGCAGCCTCCTTCATACCCCATGTACCTTGCATAATTGAGTCAGTTTGTTCATGTGTAATGCCGTGTCGAGCGCAACATTCCGAGGTGTATGGGCTTTGGGCAGAGTTCCCGAAGTGGTCTGAAGTGCTGGTGAAGGGGGCGTTGGCTGCCCTAGCCTCGCAAGACTCTTGCCGTGTTGCTGTGGTTGCTTCACCCGTTGGTGTTCCGAAGAGAGACCAACACATGAACACTTTTGTTTCGGGAGTGGCTTGAATCCAGTCGGAACTTGTTTGCTTCAAGTGTTGGTGCAGCAAAGGAAGCTCAGCAACGCGTGGGCGAGGCATACGAGCAGCGCAAACGGTCGCATGTCTGTGTGGAGTTAGGCACAGTTAGGCTATGCTGTTGGCCTGACATTCCAGGCGCACAAGCTGAAGTTGATGCAGTGAGTAATTTCGTGAATGGCTGCCGAAATGAGAAGTCATGCAGCAGTCACACTTTGAGCGAAGGTCGTGGCAGAACCTGGAAGAAGCGAAACGACGTGGGCTTTGCAAGCACATCGGGGTCAGCAACTATCCGATTGCCTTCATGAAGGCCTCAAGCTGTTGATGGGGTGTTGTATGGCATTTTCTGTTCAGTCGGACAAATGCTGTTGCATCATGTTTCTACCACCCAGGTTATCTCGGAAGACCATGATAGCGTGTCCGCTGGGCAGGAGATGGAGGCATACAGGACGTTTCCGATCTACAACGAACAGCAGGAGCTTCACCCCTTGGCGCAATTTCGCCACATCCAGGAGACACGGCAGAGACACTGGTGATTCCTAAATATGGCGCACGTTAACATTGGCTGCATCAGGCATGTTGTGTGCTAGTATACTGCACCACCAGCCACCGAACATGCCGATCCGTTTTTGAGCTCCTTCAGGACTATGCACGCAAGGCGCAGATTCGCTTGACTGGCTATGGCACAGGAGCGGTCCCTGCAATGTTTGGCAACAGCTTGGATCTTCATGATCAGTCACTTGAATTGCTCCTTGGTTCAGGCAGCTTCCAGTATTGGTTGCGATTGCAAAGGAGTCATTGCTTCCAATGCAGTGGCGCGTGAAATTTCGACACGTCTCGGCCGATCTCCAGGGCAGGCGAGCTTGTCTGTCAAAAACGCATTAAGATATTTGTTCAGCCTAGCATGATAGATGGGTACAGAGATAGATAGAGGCTCTGTGTACATATCTACAGATGCACAGTAGGGTGACTAGTCTGTTATGTGATCAAAGCTCGCATGACTGTGGGAGCTCTTTTGGCTTAGCTTCGGTGTGTTTTCGAAATGTAGCGGAGCGCATCGGATATGTACTACAAGCACCATGTCAAAGCAGCGTTCAGCAGGGGTTCCAAACCATGTTTAGTCCCAAAGGCTGTGCCAGTGGCTCGTTTTCAGGTGTTGTTGCGCTGGGCGGTGCAAAAGGGCATCGCGGTGACACCGAAGTCGAACAAGGCCGAATGCTCAGACGCTCAGCCAGGTCGTTGCTCATCCCTTGTTCAATGCGAGGAGAGCCGGTTGAGAGAGAATTTGGAAGTTTTGGACTTCGTCCTCGAGGAGGAGGACTTAGCGTGGGCATCACATCGGAACACACTATTGTTGAATCTTTTTGATATCCCTTCCGCTATGGAGGACATGAAGTTGTTGGATGCCCTCGACAAGGAGCAGGTTTTTTACTGGAACACCAGTCTCCTCGTGCCGGATGTTGCACCGGCACCTAGTTTGCAGTGGGACCAGTTTTGAATTGAGGCATAATAATAATACACTGCTACACACTTAAAGCCATTTAGCATCACTCAACGCTGCAGCTGCCACTCAGGCAGGCTTGCCAAAGTTGCCGAGCCGCTCAGAGTTCTGAAAAGAAGGCATTGCTTCACAAGATAGACTTGCTTTCGGAATGCATGTGTTACTCGGATCCAAGTGCACAAGACTTTCCGTAACTTTTCTACCGCATGCCGTTGCTCACAGCAGAACGCTGATGCAGAGTGCCCAACAACAAAGCCTCGCGAGCATCAGCAGTGAGCAACCCTAGAGGGGATCAAGTTACAGAACCTATTCGGATCCTTGCTCAGCCTCAACCGAGAGATCACATGCAGCCGGCATGGAACCCGTTGCAACCTCCTCTCCGTCCTGCTCCACGAGCACAGTCCGGCGCCAATGTGCACGATCTTCGAGATCGTGATGTGAATGAAAAGCATGATTCTGGGGCATCTCCCTAGGTGGCATCGTCAACCTGGTGGGGAGAGGCAAGTTTCCAGGCATGCGCGCAAGACTTGGTAAAACTCCTATGAAGGCGCTGCTCCTCCAAGGCAGCTCGTTGGGCTGCCGTTGTCGTCAGCTAAGACTGTCGCAGAGAACGGGCATCTCCTCGCAATTGAAGCTGTTGACCCAGGTGGCGGTGCCTGCGTTCAATGTTGCGAAGAAGAAAGCAGGCAGGAATGGGGCTCGGAACCATAATATGAGCTCAAACTTCAAACCCCTGAACGTGCGAGTAAGCAACCGCTCGCCTTCATGCGAAACATCAACTTGGCATTTAGTCGAATGTTCACAGTTGCCCCAGGCGGCAAGATTGCAGCCGGAGCAACAGAGGCGGCAGCGATGTTCAACCTGCATGCTCTATGCAGTGCAAGGCAGACTGTCATGGCAGGGTTTCGCTTACATCGCTGACCGACTGTCGAAGGGCTTGCGTGAAAGGCCGTGGTTGAAGGAGCCGGAATCCATGCCACACATGTCGAATGCGCATGACTCGCCGATCGATTGGGAGCCAGAGTAGAAAACCACTGCTGCGCGAGACGTTGTTCCGATGGGAGCCTCATCCCAGAGGAGACTGCGGAAGAAGTGAGCCTGCAATTCGTGCGGGAGGCCAGCACCACGACGTTTTGCAGTTGTTCTAGCATTCTAGCTAATGTTTTGGTGTCGCGCCGTCAAAAAGGCGACCGACGTCGTTGGTGAGTTGCTGCAGAGCCGTCAGCCCCCCAAGCATCGTGAATGTTCAGCCTGGGAATGAAACTTATCACGTCTTGTTACTGTGGTGCCAGATCTTGCCATAGCCAGCGCATGTCCAGATGACTCAATTGTTCGTTGTGTGCAGGACGGATGAAAATCTTCAAGCACTTTCCTGACTTGCAAGGCCCGCGACAGCGAAGGGAACTCATGGATGGCTTGGCTGACCTTCGGCCACCACGTTCGCTACCTCAGCTTACGTGGGAGTGTTTACAATCCGCTTTACTCGTGGTTGATTGTGCAGCACGCGCTTTGCAGAAACTCAGGACAACGAGAGAGCCCGGACAGGACGTGGCGACGAAGAATGCATCAGGTCCGAATGATTTCCTTGGTAGAGCGTCAGACACGACAGTGAAAGAGGCGGGAAGCCGTCAATCCCTGGCCCTGGCCACAGGCTCTTCAGAATCTTTGCCGCTTCTTGCTGGATTCCCCCGAGCGCTTGGAGGGCTTGAGCAAATCGGCGTTTGCCAGGCCCCCGTTCCCAGCAACCAGGTAGGTTCCCGCGCAGATTCGACACTTCGCTGCTCGGCTCTGCTTTCTATACACTTGCATCCTCACTTCAGACAACTTTCAGCAGACCATGATTTGGGCATGGGTTCGTTTGTATTCTGACGCGGTTGTGCTGCCATGCCTGAGGATTCTGGGGGCACGGGAATGCGACTGCGACGGTTTGTGACGAAGGCAGCGGGCAGTGTGATGTGGTTTGCTTCAGTGCACCATGAACAGTGCAGTCTTCGTCCGTCGGAAGCAAGTCGACAGATTGCAACGGAACATCAGGGAGTTGACAGACTGCATAGGCCTATCTCCGATGTTGACCTAGTGAAGGTCTGTTGATGCCAGCTCATGGCACGACGCCGCTCGAATGTATCACCTGGTTGTACTCCACGAATCGCAGACTGAATGTGGCAAAGCTTAAAGGTTCGATTGTTCCAGTCAGCAGTGCTGGCAAGATGCGGGAAGCAGTTCGAAAGGCAAAACCAATCACTAGTTTGTAAACAGAAGCAGTTCCACCAACTTGTTTACTTTTTTGTGCGATGAACTGACTTGCCTCAGTTTGCGTTGGACCAAGCGTGCGCATTGATGTGCCCTGCCACAGACAGCCACCATGAGCGCACAGGCCATCGCAGAAAAGCGACGTTTGAGGCAGCTGAGCCGACGGTTTGGCCAGCTTCACGAGGAGGTCACACGTTGGGAAACCGTCGATTGCATTCGCCGCAAGAGACTGCAACAAAGAGCTGCTACCGTACCAGGTCTTGCGTTCTTCGAAGGATGGTAGGTGCCCGAACTCAGTTTTTTGCAGTGAGATCTGTTGGCTCCGGGGCCTTCTGTGTCAAAGGCCTAGCGAGGAATTGGCCTCGGCCTACCGCGATGCAGCACTGGAGAACATGCGCAAGCGGCCTTTTGCTCGGTACTCGTCCATACTCGAAGAAAGACAAGGGAACAAGGAACAAAAAACCTGCCGGGGGGCCGGAGGTGGAACGTGGCTTTCCATGAGTGGTGCGCAGAGGCGAGGCAGCGAGGCGGATGTGTCAAGGCTTTTAACACTCGAGAGAGAAGTCTCCTGAAGGCGATCGCATACTATTTTCTTCTTGACCTCAAGGAGAATGCTGATGTTTAGCAGATTTGTGGTGGGCATGCCGTAGCCCTGGGAAGCGCAATGCAAGGAGCGGCATCGATGGATCTACGGCACTTCTGGCGACAGGCCACGAGCCTTGCGCCCAGGTGTGCCTGGTGTCCCACAGAGAGACCCGGGGAGAACTTAGGAGGAGTCAGAGAGAGTCATTTGTTTGCCCACCAGCTGCAGTGCTAAGTGCTAGCAATTCGTTTCGTGATGTGTTGGACGGACGGTGCATGTTGCCGTGAAGGAGGTGGCCGATTCGTACGTATTTGTTGAAGCATTGAGACGCCGTACTGTAGCCGCAATGATGAGGAACAGTAGTGTTTTTTGTCTAATTACAGGTGGTTCTACTTGTAGTTTCTGCCCACAAGATGACCTGCTGTCCTGCCCAAACGTTGCCGCCCCGGTTTTCTGCAGCTTTCTCGTGTCGATGCTCGTGGCAGGGGGACCTTTTGCAAAGAGTTATTGCTATTTGCTCGAAGCTTTTGGGGAAAGCTTGATTTGCAGACATATAAAGACCACTCCTGTCGTAATATTGCTTTTTGCCGTACACGGCCAAGGAGACAGCTTTGTCGGCAGCTTTGCGGCAGGCGCGCGACGATTACACAGGTTCAAGTTTGTGTTTGGCCCTTTGACTCGCTTCCCGCACAGGGGCCAAAGGTGCTCCAGCGCAGAGAGCAGCTTGCCGAGGTGCCGGTCAACCTGGTTTATGTAGACACTTCCAGACTTCCAGACCACGGCTGTTCAAGCTTGATCGATCTAACAAGTCGAGAGATCTTGCAGTGTGTGTGTGTGTGGATGTCGACAATCCAGGATGTTATGCTGTCCCAAATTCGTGGCCACTGCCTGCGAGTCAGTGAGGAGCTGCTGCCAAAAGCTGGGGCACGCTTGCGGCTGTTGGACATGGGCAGTTGCTACGGGCTCAGAACGTGCTTTTCTGCCGGCTTGATTGGGAGAGTTTGCATGCACGCATGTGCAGCAGCAGTTGACTACTGTAGAATAGAAGCCGGTGACCGCCGGTGTCACAAAACGCAAACGTGTTGTCCGTTGTTCTCTGCAAATTGAGCTGCTGTGTAAGGTATACAGATCTAGTAGCCAGCTTCCCATTTCGTTCATGCGGATTTGCGCTCAGGTGCTGATTACTTCGGCCGCCATGATCTCAAGGAAAGATACATCGCACCAGAGTTGCTGTTACCAAGAGAACTCAGCCCAAACTCCAGGCCACCACAGTGACCGTTTTGATGTCACAGCAATTGACTTGGTGCATACCTCGGCACGCTGTTGGAAAGCACTCCATCGCTGAACAGAGGGTGTGCAGGGTCTTGGTGGGGTCGACCAAGGCTCCGGCAGAGGACACCGTCCTTCAATGCGATGTCCTTGACATCAAGATAGGCTTGTGCTTGAGAGTGTAGCAGAATTCAAAGATGCGTCCAGCTACTTCCGAGAATGAGCCATGCTGCGCAAGTATCAGGGTGTGTATGTGTGTCAATCTTGTGTTCCCTTGCAGCATTGTTGGCAAATGCTGGCAAGTTGCTGGTGGGAAAGGAGATGCCAAACTTGGGTGTAATGCAAACGGTTCCGAGTCTTTGGCAGCGGTCACCACATGTTAGTCGGACGTGTCACGTGCGTGCACAGGCCCACCTGGCAGTCGCCCGGCAGTGCAGGCTGGATTGAGTGCAGAACCCCCTTTGTAAGCATGGGAGCGGTTCTTAAGGACGAAACTATGCGTTTCCAGCCGTCCACCAGCATCATCACAACCACGTCAGAGCGGCCAGTAGAAGCTCAGCACTGTCGTCGCAGGGCCGTCAGCTGAAGCAGCTCCCTGCCAAGGCACCTGTCGCCCACACGATTTGTCAGAGCTGAAGTGCAGTGCCTTGCAAGGATAAACATAGATGAATATGTGATGTGCTTGCGCTGCATGTTGGAAGCAGAGCCCTGTAAATGCCCCCTTGTCAGAAGATAACCCGGCTGACGATGCAACCTTGCGCATGTGGGCCTCCATTTGCCATTGACTCCCACAAATCGCTGGCCACCTTAGTCCTCAGGGTTTTGATGTGGTGCTGCTTGCCTTGCTACTGTCGTGACCTGGCTGCCAAGGGTTAGCAAGTGCTTGTAACATAATCTCTGGGAAGTAGTTGTCTTTGGATTCAGATCGGAGCACATAACTACAATTGCCTAGAATGAAATATCGTCAAACATGGGGTCATGCATTTGGCACAGCTGTCGGGTTCATCACAGACTTCTATAGTTAGTGGGCCGCCGGTGTCAGGAACAGCCGTGGCACGCCGTGCAGAGTTTTTGTCCCTCGGCCCTCGCAGAACACACACTGAGGCCGTGAGAGAGCTCAACATCCTTATATCCTGGGAATATGTAATCAGAAATCCATGTCATGTGCTCGAAATTAGGTTGGGGCAGCATCGGGAGCTTTGCTTCGAGTGCGAGGGTGTCTTGCATGGCAGAGACTGACAGAGGTACATGCCTGACCCGAAGAGTCGCACACTGGTGATTTCCAAGGCGAATGGGCACCTGTCCCAAGCTTGCGAATGGGTTTTCCGAGTCGCACAGCGTTTCGCTCCAGGCCCGGGAGCTGCTGACAGAGGGGCCGGGGCTCCTCATCGTGGCAGATACCGTCAGTGACTGAGAGCTGTTTGCATCTTCGTGGCCTTGTGAGCACTCGTCCACCAGGTTGCTGCCATTGGAAGGCTCCTTATGCCCAGGGCCACGGAATGATTGGTGTAGATCTTGCTGACTTTGGACAGCGCAGAACTCGCAGGCAGCATTCGAGCACCCAACCTCCACCCAAACTCCAGTCTTCGAGACTTCCTTGGCCAATCGAATTTCATTGTGAACCCTGGATTCCAGGCCACGGGCTGGACCGCCTCCGGAGTGGGTGCTTAACGTCGAGGTCGCCGGGATGGTACAGCTTAGCATGAAGATAGCACATGTGCACAAGTGCATCTAGATGGTGTCGATCGAGTTTGCTGCCTTGCTACCCGGTGCGTATCGGAGAAGGCCGCCGGCTTCAAGCTCATTCGCGATCCGCAGATGCATTTCTCTGCCTTGCGTGATGCAAGGACGCGGCAATGGGTAAATTCAGATTCTACAAGTGCTGTTCAGTCAAGCTCTATTCATGTGGCTGTTGGGCTCGTCACATTTCGCTGCAATGTGGCAGGTATTTGCAGGCGTCAGCGTCCAGCATAATTAAGTTTCCTTTTGCAGCGGGAGGTGCTGAAAATATGTGACATGCACTTAGCCAACCTGAGGCAGTTTGCCCTTAAGTTCAGAAGTTCCCTGCCGCCACCTGGGTTCCTCTTCCGAGTCAAGTTCAACACTGGCCCTTGGTCCCGGCCGCAGGACCGGAGTAGTCAATCGGGCAAGCTGCTTCTCCTTCAAAACGGTTGCAAAGACAGGTCCCCTGCCTTGGTTACTGGAGGATAGTTCGTGGTAAACTTCCCTCTGCCCGGAAAGTACTAGCAGAACATAGAACCGAGCACAAAGGTATGGAGGAAGCGCTTCCTCCTCTGCAACTTCCACGGGACTCTGGCGCAACAACACGAACGACTGCACAGGCCATTAGTCGAAATGCTGCATGTTAGTTCTTCACCATCCGACGCCCAGGCACTGCCCCGCCAGCGTGGGAGAAGTTCGCGGTGGCGGGATTCAGAAACTGCGCGAAAACGGTCGCAAAAGGGGGAAACAGAGCCAGTTTGGTCACATTTGGTCACCCTCGGCCATTGCCTTCAAGGATTGCTGTGACATCTTGCGCAGATGATGCACAGAATATGAGTGGACTCCTGATCGCTTTGAGGCTCCAGCCTCGACCAGAGCTCAGCGGCTCACCAGTCTTTACTCCCCAGGCCCCTTAGACTACATTACACTTATTTACACTTGCTAAGGCCAGCCACGTATAAGGCACACGATTCACACGGACATGTTGGACGTACAGCCAAATATTGGCTGCCCCGACGCTGCAGTGTGTTTTGTCGCCGGGCTGCAGGGCCGAATTGAAAGCTTTGTCCTCGCTTATAACTCCTTGCACGGCTCAGGTCAGTATTTGCAAAGGCCTTTGACGATGGCTTCATCGTCGGCATGGAAGATCTCCTCGAGCCCGCTTTTGCTGAGATTGACACAGACAGCTTTGAGGTGCTGAGTGCGCACCCATTCTGCCGTGGTTTACGTAAAGAGGCAGCTTGTCAGAATCGAGCCCTCTTGGTTGTCATCATGGCAGGTCTCATGCAGCCTTTCTGATTCGCGTCCCTGTGATGTAAATGTGTAGAGTGCTGTTGACCGTTACAGCGTGATCCTTTGATAGCTCAGGTTGTGCTGGGCATATCCCGTGCATCCAAGCGATTGGTGTTTACAACGGTGGGCCGTGTAATCTTGAACGAGGGTTCGCTATCAACTGAGCTCTCAAACCTGTGGATCTTGACGCGTGGAGCTGTTGAAGTCATTGAGAGTGGGCAGACACTGTGCACATTGGAGAATGGCAGTGTTTTTGGTGATTCTGTGGCTTTCAGTCGATGTGACCGTCAGCCCTTTACCATCAAAGTCTTGCAAGTTCCGGTTATTGCATGGTGCTTGCCTTCCGCAGATCTTCGGCAGACAATCAAGCTACATGCCTCTGCAGGGCCTTTGATGGATGAGTTCGTTGACCAGCAGGAGAGGCGAATTCTTTGGCCGCGGGTGTCAAAACTGCTGTTACTCTCCCATTGCGGCCCGAATTTCGCCAAGCAGCTGCTAAAGAAGGTATCTATTCGACATGTCAGAGCCCATAATCTGGTTTGGTCTCCAGCCACCTCCAGGCAGTACCTGAAAGTGGTGCTTGTGGGAACCCTCCTGGTGGAGAAAGTCAGCACGGATGCCTTCCAGCTCGAAGATGAAGTGCCCGGAAGCCCGAGCATACTTCGATCAGGGACCCAATCTAGGATGTTCGAAAGGAGGAAAACCACTCATGTGACCATTGGCAGCACTGAATTCTCGGACGAGGCTGAGGAGAGCCGAGCCCAGAAGAAGCGCCTGAGCGGCCCTGACATGCCAATGTCCCCAACAACGCTACAGCAGTTGAAATCCTTTGCTGCAACGAAGTCCATGTCCGGTTTTGAATATCCTGTGCTGGATGAGGACAGCAGCAGCAGCAGCAGCTCCGTGTCGGACGAAGAGAATGAAGAGAACTCCGACCTGTCCAGCGGAAGCTCCAGCACAGAGTCCAGTTCGGAAAGCTCCGAAGTGGAGGAACTCTACGATTTGCCGGAGACCCTTTCAGTTCTCGAGCCGACGGCAGGTACAGTTCAGGCCAGGGCGGGGCCCTACTGCCTAGTCTTCAACGAGCCAGCGGTCTTAAACTATACTGAAAGCGATGCTATGCTCTACAGGCAAGCTGTGGCATTGACCGATTGCATTTTCCTCCTACTCAAGGTCGATGACTTCCGGGAAGCTGTCGAGCGGGCCCCCCGCGAGAAGAAGCGCTTTGACTTGTTGGCAAATGCGGAGTATCGCGAGTGGCAGAGGTGCGGCATTCACAGGCTTCGTAGCCTTGAGGTTTTTGCCAAGTGCTCCAAGCAGTTTCTGTCTGACCTTGCACAAACAGTGGAGTCTGCCTTGTGCTTTCATGGCAACGACATTATTGCTGCAGACGATGCCACGAACGGTTTGGTCTTGTTCATGCAGGGCCATGCCCAAAATGAGAAGCGACACAAGGTTCAAGCACCGGAAGTTTTGAGTAGCATGAATTGGCTTGGAGATCGTCACGCAGCGGAGCCTCCTCGGCGAGTGAAGGCCAAGGAAGTTTGCCAGATTCTCCGTATCTCGCAATCGAAGTTGCTCAGCCTTCTCAGCCGGCATCCTCACGAGACTCACCCCACAAAAGCAGAATGCTTGTCTGCCACAACCTAACAGGTCCTGCATGTAGTACTGCAGTAATGCACCCCAACTTTTTCGGGCGGGTGCCCGAACTTGCATGGCAGGTACGGTAGGTACGACAAGACATGTCAAGACAGCCTTGCCGAGGAGACGGCGGTGATTGTGAACGAGGCCAACCGGATCAATTCGAGAAAGCACGGTGGCTACGGTGGGCGGGCGGCGGCTTTTCAGCGATCTTTGAGGGACGGAGCAAATGGAGCTCAGGGGGGTGGCCTGTTTTGGTATTGCCCTTTTTGCGATGATTTGGGGGAGGATTTCCTTCAAGAGCTCATCACCCACATGGAGTGCTTCAAGCTGATCCCGGGACAGCATCTTTTTCGGAACTTGGACGGTGCCAATGCAGACTTCCTTGTCGTGCTGACGCGGGGGCGGCTGATGGCTTCGGATGAGGCCGCTCGAACAAAGATCAACAAAGGAAACTTTGGTTTGGCCATTGGTCTGTAGCAATTGCTCACCTGTCATGGCCAATTTAGTAAATCATTGGAAAGCCTAAAGCGGGGGCGGCCAAAGGTGCCCAAAGCTTGAAGTGCCCACTGTTAGGAGCTGGACGCACCCCTCATCATCTGCGGTTTCGACCGATCGGGCTACATCGATACGGTGGCAGAGGAACTCAGTGAGGTTTTTTGCGTGAACTTCGAGCAGATCAAGTCTTTGTTGGCAGTGAACCCCGAGAGCACACGAGCATTCTTGATGCGTGTGGCATTGTTTCAGGAGCGCCTGGAAAAGAGACAGGGGTTAAGCTGGTGGAGTTCCCTGAATGTGCTACGTCGGCACGAGCCTTTCGCTGCATGCACTGAGGCCTTTATTGAGGCCTGTGCGCCTTTCATGCAGGTTAGGTTTTGCCTCCCTGGTGAAGCCATCGTGGAGGAAGGAAGCCATGTGGAACATGCGCTCATCATCGAAAGTGGAGTTGCCAAGGTGCATCGTCAGACCAAGCCGGCTCTGAGAGGTTGCCCAGATAGAACCGGTGAGGTGAGAGACAGCTACTTGGTAGGAGGCATCAGTGGCGCATACGGTTTTGCAGGGATGCAGCGCCGCTTGGCAACCATCAAAGCATTGACGCTTTGCAAGCTCATCGAGATCCCAATCACGGCGATCTTAACTTTGCTAGACCAGCATCCCGATGCCAGACAACGTTTTCGCGAAATCGCTGAAAGGCGGTTTAAAGAGCTTGCCCCGGAGCCATTGGAGGAGCATCCCTTCTTTAAAAACTTCTCGAAGTCCTTTCTGAATACATTGCGCACGAAATGCAATGCTCAGGTCTTCTTCGTAGGGGAAACGATCATTCGCCAGGGAGACCCTGCAGACAGCATGATCATCATAAGCTCAGCTTCCGTTGTGACCCTCTACGTTGATGGAAGAAAGTTGAAAGATCTTGCTGGAGGTTGCACATTGGGAGTACCATCTATCCTGTCATCAGCAGCTGTCAAGCGATTCGCCACCATAGAGGCTCAGACTGCCTGCACGGTGCAGAAGCTCACAAGAAAGGACTGGCTCGATGTTCTTAAGAACCATGCGGAGCACAGACTGTGGATACAAAGCTTTACCGAAGAGCAACTTGCCCTGGCAAACCAGCAAGCTTTGGAAACCACTAGGCGCTACCGCTGGCGGAAGATCAAAGAGAGGGAGACAGCGGCTGTACAGACGCATTGCAGACGTGCTAAGGGCCAGACGCAAAAGGGCCCGACAAAGCAAGCGAGTGTGACGCAGGCACTGGCGGAAGCAAAAGATCTGCCGCTTCATGGAATTTCTGACAGCTACGACGGCTACGAGCATTGGGATTGCTTCAATGGTCGGAAGGCAACAGTTCCACATGTGAGGCTTCCCCAGCTGTCGCTACGACCTCAAAAAATCGAAGTGGTTGAGCACTCAGAGGAAGAGGATGACCATGACGAAGCTACGCGCTCCTCGACAGCTCGTCGAGGAAGTGATTTCGGCGGAATGGCCATGCGCAAGATGACCATAAAAGCGTCGAACTCCTCTCGCATCTCAGCTGATAAGCCAAGTCAAGAATGCTGGCTGACACCTGGACAGGACATGTCTTCAACAGCAGCAGTCCACCTCTTGTGTGTGAAAGCGAGTTCATGCGGGCACTTCACCAGTGCCTCACTTAAGCAGCACTGACACCGGCACCACCACGAGTACCAGCACCGCAGAAAAACAGGCTGCAACAGACCTACCACCACAAGAAAGATCAACAGTCAGGTTAGTTGATCAGTCAATCTAGACTACTAGATTTCATCTTCGTCAAATGCAGTTCATGTTGTAGACTTCTTCCGTAACATGGACATGTTTGTACTACAGCTTTGGACTCCTGCCTGCCGTCGTTCCGGACAGAGTCCAGAGCCTTGCTCGTAACAGCCGTGGAGAGGCCTCAGCGTGCTGGGCGAGCTCCCGCAAATGGTCGAAAAGCCAATGTCGCACGAGAGTTGGCTGGATTGCCACTTGCACGAAGTGTGGACCCATGGTAGGGCCTCAGCAATCCCCCGCACAGTGAGCTGTGAGTGTCGATCCATCTTGATGGTTAGGGTTTCGACTCGACCGCCAGGTCAAGATGCCTTTGGACTGCTGTACACAGCTCTGGGCGACTAGGAGAAGTTCGCCAAGTGAATGCCGAAATGCCGCCACATGTCCACGAAGTGGCTGCGGCGGCTCGATGCCCAAAGAGGTGTCGCTGCGAGACATGCCGGCAAAGACGCTGCGTACCGCGACGAGCTTGCGGCGATTTGCATTGTCCACAGCTAAGTCTCACATGATCGAAAATTGCTGTTTGGCACAAGCATGAAAGTCCATTTCATCTAGTTTGTTGTAGCCACTGGGTTAGAAAAGCAGCCTCGAGCGGCTGTGTGATAATAGGTGGCCCTGTGCAGCATGCAGAATGCACCAGTTGTGCAGGGCAAGGTGGTTGGCAACGCATCTGATATGGGACAGTACCCGCCCCAACAAGACGCAAATTTCGGGGGACAGCCGCCGGTGATGCAGAATGATCTGGATGTCGTGCAGATTCAGATGTCATGCAAGAACTCGGCGCTTCCTCCAGACATCCGCCTCGGCTTTGTGAAGAAAGTCTACGGCATACTTGGCACCATGCTGCTCATCACATTCGGCCTCGCTCAGTTTTTCGTGTTCCAGAAGGATGCGACATTGGAACTTCGTAACTGCTGTCAGCATTGCAGTTTTGCGTGGTACTGTTCAGTAGCTGAAGTAGGTCGGATGCATTAAGTCCCCCACTCTCTTCTTGCCCATACGTAGATGAGCCGCAAATGAGAGAGCACCGAGTTCTGTTGATGCTGATAAGGATTTCCTCAGAGCGAATATGTGGATTGTGTACATTGTCGGTGCCATCGTTGTGGCACAGCTATTTTTCGATTGCGCGATGTCGTGCCAACTTTGTTGTGGCGGCTCTAGCCTCATACGAGGCTATTTGAAGATGATGGTAACTGCTCCATGGAACTACTTGTACTTGCTGGTGTTCTCCGTTTGTTTCGGAGTACTTGTCGGCTACGTTTGTGCAAGCTACACAGCAGAGTCGGTGCTCTTAGTTTTTGCCCTCACTCTGATCATGGTTGTTTGCCTGACGGTCTACGCAGTCCGAACATCAGCGGATTTTACTGGCTGGGGGCCCCACATAATGGTTGCGGCAGTTGGCCTCGTGCTCCTGATCATAATGTATTTCCTGTTGCCAGATCGAACACTTTTCAGCAGACTTGCAGGTGCTATTTGTGCGACAATTTTTGGCATCCTCATTGTACACGACACCCAACTGATCTTCGGCACAGCTTCCCTGGGATTCGGTGGAAGCAGCAAGAAATTTGAGTACACCATTGACATGTATGCATTTGCAGCGTGGAATCTCTACTTAGACTTCATCACGTTTTTTCTGTACATGCTACAGTTTCTTGGTAATCGGGAGGGGTGAGGCCGCAAAAACCAGCGGTAGTGCTCGCTCGTGCGGAAGTTTCATTTTGCTCAGTCTTTCGAGCCTGTACAGCTGGCTTGTCCTATTTGCCCGATGCACTACGACGCTCAGAAGAGCGAAGAGTACACGAGACAATTCGCGAGCTAATGTTCCATAGGAGCACGAAGGTCATTTGCGCCTGGAGCATAACTCATAAGGGCAACATATAAAAATTCAGCTCTATTAAATGGTTGAGCCTTCTTTTTGGAAATATTCACTCGTCCATAATTTTCTTAAAACAAAAATATTGAAATATTGAATTGATTTTCGAATTACCTACTCTGGAATTTCAATATTAGATATACTATTATATTTTTATCGAAATATTGAATATAGAAAATATTCGATTGATGTTATTGATATCTGTCTATATTGATTTTTTGTATATAAATTATACTGATAAAAAAAAATTGAGATATTCTAAAATATATTTGGGATTTATTTATAAAAAGAAAAATTAATAATGGTTTACATGGATTCTTAGAATATAGGTTTAATGATATTAAAGAAATTAGATATATTTTATTTTTCTAATTTATTTTGATAGTGAATATATTATTATATATTCTATATAAGAAGAAATTATTCTAAAAATATATTCGTGAATTTTAATTGATATATAGAAGTCTGATATTGGAATATTCGAATTATATATATTTTTAGATAATTATTTTTGGCGTTTTGTTATAATATGAAATAATTTTTATGATATATATATATTTTATTATAAAAAAATATTCGTGATATTGAATATATTTAATTTAATTTCTTATTTTTTATTTTATTAAATTTTCGATGGTGTATTCGTTTCGCATAGAAAGTAGTTGGACCTCCAAGGTTAAAGGAAGCTAATGCCTCCGTCTCGGAGGACCGGTCGTGTCGTGTTTATCGTCCATGTCGTAGACGCTGATAAACGTCTGTGTCGAGGTGCCTCGGGGACTTTGTAGGCTTAGCTGGCGGCTCGTCAAAGGCGGCGGGTACGCCGATATCCCGGCCCTCGTCACGAAAGTCTCGCCTGGCGTGGTACCGAGGCTCATAGCGCTCGTCATGTCGAAATTCCTCTTTCTTGTGCCTATCGCGCGGGCTGGATGAGCTGCGCCTCCTACTGGACCTTGAATGTCGTGCCTGAACGGGCCACGAGGCGTGTGTTCTTACCTAACAACGTCTCTTTCTCCGGTCGGAATGAGTTCCTTATTGGAATCTATCGCCGGCGCCTTTGTAGCCGGGTATGCTGGGACGGCAGGCGCAGCGGTAGGGACGGGACTGCTGCGGATGTTTCTGCTGGAACGGGCGGTGCCGCTGGCCTAGGGGTGCCCTGAAGGTCAGGGGGAGCATGCTTAAATACCACCTTAGCCTTCGCGATCACCGGCGGCGCCTTTGTTGGGATTCCTGACGGCGCCAACGGGGAAGCTATCCCACCCGGCATTTGCACCCAAGCCGCTCGTGACCTTTGGCGTCGGCGCCGCATACAGTATGTCGGCGCAGGAGCTGCGGACTTCGTCGCTGTGGACGATCAGCACCTGGGGGGCGCATTAGACATGAAATTCACGGTGCTATCGACGTTGTTGCTCCTATTCATCACCGCTGTGAGGCTATTGGGATCGCCCCACTTTGCTACGTAGGATGTATGCCTACGGCCCTTCAACTACATCCTTACGGCTACTTGATAAGCAATCTCGCCTGCCCTAGGAGCTAAGTCCAGGGGATCCCAGCCTGCGTGCTCGGGCGGCAAGACGTAGGAGTCGTCGTCGTCGATGTCCATAGCCGAGGATGCACCAGCAGGCGGTGCTGTTGTCCTGGTCGCACCAGCCACACCAAATGCGCTAGCAGACGATGCTGCCGTTTCAGCCGCCGCGTAATCCGCGTCTGTAGCCTCACACTCCGCGTGGAATCGCTCCATATACGTCTCCACGCCCGGCCTAGTAGCGGCTGGCTTAGCGACTAGTACGCTGTAGTTGTCGACCTTCCCTCGCGCCTTCACCTTCCTCACAAAACCATCGAGGATCTCCTGAACGTCGACCCAACACTCTAGAATATGAAATAATCTATCTGAGTGCAATTCTAATAAAAGACCAATTCGGAGAACGATAGGTAATGAGCGGGCGGATTAGTTGCTCAAGAAAATCAAGAATATTTATAAGATGATGGGGATCTTTAGAATGATATGAATGATCGATCGGGAGGATGATATGAATATTCGTTTCATATATATTATTGGATCGGAGTAGCTTTTATGACGGATAGAACGAGGAGCAGAGTAAATAGCATAAATTCGTAAACCTTTTTGAGATTATGAAAGAATCATACTGGTTTAAATCTTCCTCGCATACCCTGGAATTTAGAACCAGACTCCCAAACCCTGAGGCCTTATTCCGAAATCTTCTATATCAAAAACTCCAACCCATTGACCTCACCCCTGGCCCGCAAAGAATAAACCTGAGACTCGAAACTGGAACATCGCGGGACCTCGTCTTCAAGATATTTTATTATGAGAGATAAAAGCCATTCCGAACAATCATTTTCATATATCATGTCTCAGCATATATATCTTACACCATATTATATATCATATACAAAAAACTGTATATAATCCATATCATATCATATATCACATCACATCTTGTTTCTCGACTGGCTTCAATTATACTCGTGATCTCTTCAGACTTATATTTATAGATATATTTATGCTGCTACTGATATCAGAATTTATTTATAATTTCATCAGAGCGTTCGAACAGAGCCTGCGAATATAAGCGCCGTTCTTGTGTCAAACGTAATTTGAGGTTGCTGTAGTATTGCTTTGTTGCTGTGGTAGTTGGATGGCGATTTGGGCGGCAATTTCTCGATGAGGTGGAGGGGAGCGGAGCAATATATCAGATGCTTGGGGACTCGGCCGGGCCAATTCTGGGCGGGGCGACCAACTTTAGCACTGGACCCGGGTCCGGGCCAGGCCGGTCCGGGCGGCTCGACCAAGTTTAGTACTGAAAGTTGGGCCACCTCAAAATCCCTAATCCTAGATTATAAATTTGTGATCCTTCTCGCGCTATTTTTCTGCTCTAGTTTTGTAGTTTGTGCTTCCCAATTTTGCTCCTACTGGTGCTATTTCTCTGCTCTAGTTTTGTAGATTGTGCTTCCAAATTGTGCTCCTGCTGGTACTATTTTTCTGCTCTAGTTTTGTAGTTGTGCTTCTAAATTGTGTTTCTTTTTGCGTTACTTTTTCTGCTCTAAGTTTGTAAACTGTGCTTCCAAATTGTGCTCTGCAGTTTTTTCCTCAAGGAGGCCCGATACGCAAAAGTTGGAGTATGTAAGTTTCTAACTCGCACGGCACTGGAATGTAATCGGCATCTGGGAGTTATTGCTCCGGACAGAACAGGAGTCTCTGTCCCGCTCCGCCTGCAGCGGCCCTACTTCTCCATTTCTGGCCAACTTCAACTTGCGGCGGAAAACTCTTGACACTCTTCTCGTCTGTCCTCAAACTTTAAAAAATATTATCCCAAACTTGGTTGACTATCATATGACATTTCATTTTTATATAGGATCACATAGTCACAGAATCCCATATACAGACATTAATTTTCCGTCATGAACTCGGTCGGTAGTATTCTGTCTATAAGTCTAGAATTTCGATAAATAT